TTCAGCTGCTACACAGCCTTCCTTCCTCATTGTGCCTTCACTGAAAACCACAATAAAGGCTCTTAGCCATGCCTGCCCTGGATCACTCTAGGACTCTCCTGCACAGCTTCATACATATGGCACTCCATGTTATGAGCAGTGTGAGGAAGTGCCTTACCAGTGGCTGTCATTTCTCATCTTTTGGTCTGGCATGTCTGGATACCAAGAGAATCAAGAGTGATAGAAAAAGAAAAAGAAAAAAAAAACATTCTCTCTGCCTGAGTCTCTTCCTGTTCCACTAGCATGAGGGTCCTTAAGTGACAGGTTCTGGCTATTCAAGTTGTACATCTCCGGAGCGAAGTTGATATACAGCAGATACTTAGAAGTACAGACTGGGTTAGGAATCAGTGAACCAAAGGGGGAAATGAGGATGGAGAAAATAGTGACCAGCCCAAGAATGGTGGGGGACATGTGCCAGGAAAACAAAGGGGAAATGGCAGAGAAGCAGAAAAACTTGCCTTCTAGTAGGCATGGCTGGCTTGAAGGAGGCTTTATGTCTGACATCAGAGACCCACCCAGTGCACCAAGCAGTACATACTGTAAGGATCATAATCCCTTCTGACCCAACCCAGGACAAAAGGAAGTACTGTAGGTTCTGTAACACATCCAAACACTATGAAGTACCTACTGTAAACCCCACATGGCCTGGATCTGAACACAATTTCTGTGTGAATCAGGATGCAGCGTGCTTGGCAAAGCCACCATGAGAAAGCTGGTGATGTGTGCCTGTAACACTCAGCTCAACACCTGGCGTCCAGCGAAGCTCTGCCAGATGAAAATGGCCTCGATGTTAGACGTGAACACAGGAAGAAAGGAGTCTATTTTTCCAGGTAGCAAACAGAGATACAGTAGAAAAAAATTAAAGCTGAAAATAATTTTGTAGAGCTACATTAATATTGAATTTTTTAAATCAAAATCTTTGAGATAATGTCTCAACCATGTTGCTCAAGCTAGTCTTGAACTCCTGGGCACAACAATCTTTCCTTCTTCCATAGCAGGTAGGTCTGTGGGTATATACACTAGAGGGACTGCTGGTGAATGCTACCCTGCCCCACTTTGCCTCCTTATCTCATCCCATCTTACCTTACTAGTCTTTATGAGTCAGTAACTCACCCAATAGCCTAGGCTGGCTGAACTCACCCTGTACCTCAGCTTTTACAAAAAAGGGATGGAGAAAGGAATATGATCTAGTGAATGTTGCAAAGTATTTGATTACACAGTAAAGATGTGTCTCTGCCTAAGGTGGCTTCTGATTGGTTTAAGAAGAAGCTAAATGGCCAATAGCTAAGTAGGAGAGACAGGCGGGATTTCTGGGCAGAGAGAGGAAACTCGGGATGAATCTAGGTGCATGGGAGACTCCAGCCAGACACAGAAGAGTCGGACACATAGAATGGATAGAGGTAAAAGCCACATGGTAGAACGTAGAATAATAAAAAGATGAATTAAGTTATAAGAGCTAGTTAAAAACAAGCCTAGGCTAAAGGCCAAGCTTTCATAATTAGTAAAAAGTCTCCCTGTCATTATTTGGGAGCTGGCTGGCAGGACAGAAAAAGACTTATTACGTATGGTATCTAATGTGGGGACATATATTTCCACATAAGAACTGAGAATGCTTTTTTAAAAAGTTCCAAACATGCAAACACAGAGCCAGACACAGCTTTCTAGTTCTGCAATCTCTCGGGTAGGCCATGGAATACAGAGATGCAGTTCTTGGCTATTGCCTGCAGGCTTGAGCCAGCCAGCACCATGTGCAGAGTTGGATGGCAGGTTTAAGGCTTGGCTCATGTGCTTTAGAGAAGACTACAGGCATGCAGTAAAGTGGTCCAGACGGAGAAAACCTTTAAACAGATACAGTAAAAAAAAAAAATGGGTATAGACAGTCATAGAAAGAAAGAGTTTAGAATAATAAAGTCTTTAAAGAAAGAGTAAAGTAATATAAAAAGAATACGCCACACAACAATGGGAAATACACAGGACATCCAGATCCTGAATGGTGTTTTGTTAACTTGGAATTTTTAATATGCTGATGAGTGAGTAGCAGATGCTGGGAGGCACTGGATTGTGAAAGAGACTGCTAAATTAAACTGGCCTATAGACTTTAGGGATGTCTTGGCTTCAGAATGGAAGTCAGAAAATAAATTGCATTGGAAGAGAGTCTATGCCTTTGTTTCCACAGGAAACAAAATGCTATGGATTCCTTTGAAGTTAAAAGAGATCAGACAAGACCAGGGGAGATCTCCTGAGGATCTTGAATACAAACATGAGGGAGGAAGACAGAAAAGACTACAGGACGGGTGATGTATATGCTGATCCTGCTGCATGGGAGCAGTTTTGAGACTGGATGAGACATGATAAATCTTCTTGGCTACAGAGTCCTCATGACTTATTATTACATGCCATCCTTTCATATTGCATGGGAAGAGGTTTGGTATATAGTCCAGACAGACTTATAAAGTTGACAGAAGCCTTTTACCTACTCAAAGAGAAAAAAGAAAAACATCTTTAGTTTACTTGTAAACACCACATGTTCCATACTTGTGTTAATGCAGATATGCATATTAGCTTTAAAAGTCCGTGTGTTTTCAGAACAAAAGGAATAGACATCAATGAAGACAAGTAGCCCAGGTGATCCCACCTCTCAAAATGCCTCTATTGCAGTTTCCTCAAAAGCGTGCATTAAAAACAACTTCAAAGCTATTAGCTGAGATGGTCCCGCCTCACAGACTATTCCAGTCAGAACTTCAGATAAGCCCTACACTTTCCCATCACAGAGAGACTGGATAACAAATGATACAGCTAGCTCTCCCAAGACCTGACCATTATCTCAATTTTCTCAGGGTCCTTGAAGATGTTGTCTCCCCCAGACAACAGGAAGTAATTTTAAGAATACAATGCCCACATTCCCAAGAAGTGGGGTGGTTTTTGGTCATTCAATGGCTGTTTGTCATTGTTTAGGAGGGTTGGTTACAAGTTGTTATTGGTCAGGGAGAAAACTAAGCAAAGGAGATTATATTCAAGGATCTTTTTCTGTAAAGAAGAAGGGGAATATAGGAATGATAGAATAAAAGGGTAGATTATTGAATCTACTTTTAAACTGAAAAAGCACTTATTAGTCTTAAATATTTTACATTGGTATGAATATTTTTATACTGATACAAATTTAAGGTTACTTTTGTTATACTGTATATTTTTCTACTCTTATTTAAGGTATTAGACATATGCAATGCATTTAACAATGTAATGTAAACTTCTAGCCCTTGAAAGTTATTATTACTATTTAAGAGAATTAAGAAATACAGGTTAGTAGTTAGTCATCTAACAATCAAATTTGTGGCCATATTAGGTATGTTTTCAAGATCAAACAGAGATAATTTAGAAGGACAGATGGTCTTAAAACACTTCAGAGATCTACAGAATATAGCATTTAAGATGTTTTAATAATATAAGGCTTTCATGATAGTGAGACACATCTGCTCCTGGCAGCACCAATTTACTTCAAAAAAGGATGGTGGGCATCAAAGAACCTCCATAAGAAGTTGGATTTCATTGTGGCAAAAGTTAGCCTCTGGGAAAAAACTGCCCTTGCCTTGACTTTTAACAGTATGATGTCCAAACTGGACAAGCAGGACACAAAAGAAAGCAACTGCTGAACGTTGACAAGACAAGGTAGGACAGTCCTTCAAAACTCCTGCTTCACAGAAGAGTCTGTCAGATATTCTAGGCCTGTAGGCTGAAGCTGGATGCCCCACCATTTCAGAGGAACCTTGGGTGAGTGTCCAGGCAGCCAGCTGTTTCTGTCATTTCTATAGTTTTGGAAGTTGTTTGTTCTGTACTTCCTATTTATTCATGTAATATTATATCCTCTCAGGTCTCTGATGGGGTTGAAGATTGGATAGCTATAGTTACAGTTTTCCACAGTTTTGACAGAAAGTAAATCAGATACAAAACTTTGGACTCACCAAGATAGGATAGATAATGAAGTAATTTCTACAATTTGGAAAATGCAAATGGACTAGACATTGTGAATGTAATTCTTACCTGATAATTGCTCTTATTGTATATTAGTTTTACTGTATAAAACCTTTCCTTTTTATTTAGACAAAAGGAGGTAAATGTTGTGGGATATTTGTACATAATGTAAAGATATATTGCTGTGATTGGTGTAATAAACAGCTGAATAGTTGCCAACAGCTAAGCAGGAGGTATAGATGGGACTTCCGGGCAGAAAGAGGAAGAGGAGGAGGAATCAACGTGTGTGGAGACATCAGAAGATGCAGAGCAAATAGGATGCACAGGAGAAGAGGTAACAGCCATGAACCACATGGCAGAGCATAGCTTAAGATAAATGAGTTAAGTTACAAGACCTAGTTAGGAACAAGCGTAAGCTACAGGGTGAGCTTTCATATTTAATAAGAAGTCTCCATGTTATTATGTGGGAGTTGGTAGGATAGAGAAAGGCTCATTATAAGTGACAACCCCTTTTAGCTTTCTATTTGTGTGTTTGCTTTTATAACATTTTTACTTTATTAGTGTACATCCACTGTATGGAATAAAGGACTTTAAATTCTAATTTTTGTTCAATTATAATATGTCTTTGAGCATATTCACCCCCATCTCATTCTAGTCCCTTTCCTCTTCCCAAGTAACTCTATTTCTACTTTCATGTTCAGTGTGTATGTGTGTGTATGTGCATTGTGTGTCCCAGTGTGTGCATGCATACACATACACATGTGATCAGGGCTCCAGATAAGAAAGAAAAGAGTCTAGCTTACTTTTTGTGTGTGTCTTTTTGTTATTCAGAGTTTTTCATTTGTTTGATTTTTCTATATCAGAAAATGGATGTAACTGGGAATTCTTTGATGGTGACTACCAAGATGCTGGCTGTGAGCTAAGAACTGCTACCAGGTCACTGAGTCAGAGAAAACAGCAATGTGATGGAGGAACTGACAGGGAGTCCTTACCTGTGGCCCTAGTGCTCCTGGGGTTCCTGGTGGACCCACTTCGCCTTTCTTCCCCTGAGTACAGAAGAGAAGCCAGAGTTAATAGTGAAACATCATCCCATAGAGCCCAAGGAATAGTGTCTCTCAAGGAAATCCTTTCTCGATGACTCAAGCTCCCCTGATTAATAGGTTGCATCCCCAGGAGCGCCCAACAGAGGTACAGTGTGATATCAGTAAAGGGGGTACATGCTTAGGGGTATCCAGGAGGCTAGTTGGTTCCTAGCTCTGTAAGTAATTTTAAAGACAGCACATGGCATATAGCTGGGCAGAGGTGGCGCACACTTTTAATCCCAGCACTCGGGAGGCAGAGCCAGGTGGATCTCTGTGAATTCAAGGCCAGCCTGGTCTACAGAATGAGATCCAGGATGGGAACCAAAACTACACAGAGAAACCCTGTCTCAAAAAAAAAAAAAAAATGATAGCACAAGGCCCAAAATTTCCCAAGGCAGATCAAACAAGAGCATTGTTTTTTTTTGTGTGTGTGTAGTTTGTTGTTGATATACAAACATATATATTTGAAAATATTTTTCATATATATATATATATATATATATATATATATTATATTATGATTACATTCTCCCATACCCCAACTCCTCCCAGATCCTCCTCACCTCCCTGCACACCTAACTCCATTACTTCATAACTCCTGGGTCCCTTTCCTAACCTGACTGATGATGCTTACTCTCGCAAAAAAAAAAAATGTCTGAACAAGTGTGAATCTCCCTTCTTGTCTCTCCTCTCTCACTCCTCTCCCCCACATTCCATTCTTCAGAATTCCTGCATGGTACCTACTGTCTTCATAAGCCTTGCTTTCTAACAATAATTTCCCTGAGCTGCATCCTACAAGATGTGCTAAGTGCCTCTGCCTCTACCTTGTAGTGACATAGTGTGACCTCCTCTATTCATACAGATAGTCCCCACCCATGGATGGGCAGGCCACTGAGTGTGTTTGCACCCTTCTGGGTGATAATCTGTGCAGCAGATACAATGCACCACTGATGAGATCATGAGGGCAGTCACCCTCATTAGACCCCATCAAACCAGCTGGGAAGTGTATTGTTGCATTTAATTTACACAATGAGCTTCATGATCTGAGTGACAGAAAATGGTCTCTTCTGCATTACTCCCTTGTTCCTGGAATGTTGCCTGATTAAATAAAGGGACTAGTTAGAAAGGAAAAAAAAAATCTGTAAAACCCACATTTCTCAAGACAGGTTTGGTAGGAAACTCTGCCTAGTTTCCCTACCTATGTATTCCAATTTAATCTGTTCATCAAGAGGACCCTGTGCAGATGTTCAGAGGCCCAGCCTATCAAGTCTGAACCCCAAAGCCTGCTTGTTATACAGATGGGAAGGCACAGGCCCGGGTCCCATCCAGTTACAGTTGAGAGCATGCTTAGGCTTAAGACAGCTCTCCAAACATCACTGCAGATGTCTGCTTAGGTGAAAAGGACTTTAGAATGTTAGATCTCTCACTTAATGCCTCTGACCTTCTGCTCTCTGTTCCCCAGTGACTCCTGCTTTTCCCTGGTGATCCTGAATCCCATCTTGTACACACAAAGCAGGCTTGGTCTCTCCCTGAACCCAGCCCCAGGTACTTTGCTTCTTGTCTTTTTCTTTCCCTTAATCCCTCCTACCTTCCCTTTCTTCTTCCTATCCCCCTCCCCCTCCCTCTTTTCTCTCCTTCCTGTCATCCTTTCTTCAATCTCTCTGTCTTTTCTTCCTTCTCCTCATCTTCCTCCCATATCACATGAGCACTTAGGACTCAGGACTCGGGAAGACTCCCCTGAGGAGAGGTGCTGAGGTAATGTTGGAAGGAAAAGGAGCCTTCCTGGGGATCAAACCAAGGGCAAAGAAAAAAGAAATGCAGATGTGTCCTCAGGAAGCACATGAGAATGGGACATCCTCACTCACACACTGTGGGAAACTGAGGCACATGAATAGGGGGAGGCAAAGGAGGTCAGCACAGAGCCCCAAACAGTATGTGTGTCCTGGACTTAGCTGAGTCCCGGGCTGAAAACAATCACATCTGGTTTACCGTGGGCAGACTCTGGAGCACACAGGCAATCAAGTGGGGCTTGGAGACGGAATAAGGCTGGTCAAGCCACGCCTGCATGCTCAGCACATGCCATGCCACCCAGGCATCAGCTCACCCCTGGACAACTGCAATACCCCCAGACAGATATCTTCCTTCACACATTTTCCCCTCTAAGAAGCCAGGGTTATATTCATAAAACATCCATTGCTTTCCTTCTGCCCAAACATCACAGTGTTTCATAACTCAGACCAAAATTTCAATGCCCCCCAGCCTGTCCTTCAGGACCCCATCCCTGCACGTTTTGCTCACTTCTTTCTACCCTCCCTCCACCTCTAAGCATGATGGCTCCCCGCCTCTGTCTTGAATTGGCCAAGTATCCACAAACCCAATGCCTTTCTCTCAGGTCTACCTCCTGCTGGAGAGCTGCTTCTCCAGAGACTCATTTGGTCTCTGCTCAGTGGTCCTCTCCCCTGACTGTCTCCTTGGAAACCTCATGCAAACAGCACTCTCTCTGCCTGCTATAGCCCCTCACCCTGCTGGACTTCCCTCGGTGTGTGTTACCACCAATACCCCATTGATGTCCCTGTTTATTTACTGTCTCTCTGTCCTACCGGGACACACATCATTAAGAAGCAGGTACGGGGGGGGGGGGGGAGAAGCAGGTACCGGTTCTGGTTTTATTTGATATTCTACCTTGAGGTCCCAGAACAGTAGCTGCCACATAGTGGATGCTCAGTGCACACTTGTGGGCTGGATAGATAAGTCACCTTTGAGGTGGATGTGAGTCAGCAAAGACCATAGCAGTGGGGAGATCTGTGTGGGTCGGAGGTAGATGATATTAGAAAGACAGGAAGAGTCTATGAGGTGATGCATGGTCTTTCTGAGTGTGACTGTCTGGCCAAAGCCCCTGATCCAGACCTGGCCCTAGAGCACTTGGCCTGCAGGTGACATGGGATCCACGCCAAAATGAGTTTCTGCATACTTGTCAAATGAAATTCAAAATGTGGTCACAGATGCCTTTAGAAGCAGGCTACGCCCTATAGGCACCCAGTCTCACCTTTCATTTGGCCCTGCTCTGGTGACAGCAGACATTAAAAGGCTGACCATAAACAGAGCCCATTCCCTGCTCCTCTTCCTCAGGAAATGGAAAACAGACCCCTTTAGTGTTCTACCTGGACAGATGTCCCTCCTCTTTCCCCAGGTTATTTCACAGAAAGTTGCCGGTTATTCACAAGATGAATTCAGGACCAATCCAGCGTCATCCCTCTGGTGGTAGGAATGAAACACTTAATCGGTCTTGGGAGGAATCAAAGAGGAGAAGAAAGGATGTGAAAGCCTGGCTGTTGGCTGAACAGAGTAACTCAGATGCCTGCCCACCTGTGCAGAGCAGGGGAACAAGAGCATGAGCCCCCCTCACAGACGGGAGGCTGTGGGGTCTGTAGACGAATGTCTAAGCGGTCTTATTAAATAAAAAAATATGGAGCCAAATATAGGAGTGAAAGCTTTAGATCAGAGAAATAGTGAGAGCCACCAGCCAATCTACCTTACCAACTCTGCAGCTTCCAAATGCCACGACTTCTTGTCTGCCCAGGCTTTTATTGTCTTGCTGTTCTGACCTCTCATTGGCTACTTTAGCTCAGCTACCTCACTTCCTCTTCCTATGCAGCTCTGTCACTTTCTATCTGTCTACACAGACCTCCAGGTCTCTATGGTTGGTACTGGGATTAAAGGCATGTGTCACCATGCTTGGGTCTGTTCCCTAGTGTGGCCTTGAACACATAGAGACCCTGCCTGCTAAGTGATAGGATTAAGGGCGTGTGCTACCACTGCCTGACTTTGGTGTTTACTTGCTTGCTATTTCCTCTGATCTCCAGGAGAACTTTACTTGTTAACATACAAATAAAATATCACCACAGGGGTCTCTGCTTCTTCAGCAGGCCAAGATCTTACGCTACTCAAAGGATGACATTCCCTGGAATGAAATGATAAGGAGATATGTAACAGCCATGGGTCCAGGAAGTGCCCCACCCCTTGCCAGGATGTGAAATACAACACTCTGGAAGGGCAGACACATGTAGTAGTTTGAATGAGAAATGTCCCACATGACTCAGCTCTCTGAACACACAGTGCCCACTGGATGGTGCTGTCTGAAGAGATGGAGGGGGTATGGAGGCCAGTGTTGCATGTTCTTAGTCTCACTCCACTTCCTGTCCTCTTCTCTGCTGCAGATTTTCAGTTGAAGACACCGGCAGGAGCTTCCTGCTCCTGCCACCACGCCTGCCCTTTGTTCCCACGCTTCCCCACTGTGGTGGACTCTCAAAGCTCTGGAATCGTAAGCCCAAGTAAACTCTTCTGTAAGTGTCCGGGGTTATGTTTTATCACAGCACCATCAGAAAACTAACACAAGACATGATGGCATGGGTTACAGCAAGAAAAGAGAACTGCAAAGAACTCTACCCACTAAAGCAAACATAACTAACATTAGGTTTTCAGTATGGAGGGAGAACCTTAGGGTGTGACAAGAGACCAGGCAAGGCCATGAAAATGTGTCCTCAAACTAGCATCATGAGGTTGCGTCTCTCCCGAAAAGAGCAGAATCTTCATCATCTATGTTGGGGCATCAGCCAGAGAAACACCAGGGGAGCCATGTTCTGGCTGGCTGTGTCCCCTGAGGACATGCCTTCAACATCCTAGCACCCAGAGCCACCAGGTGCGCCTCTCTCTCTCTCTCTCTCTCTCTCTCTCTCTCTCTCTCTCTCTCTCTCTCTCTCTCGTAGTCACAGCTCCTGAGATCATCCCCTCTAGAACTTGCTGGGCCACTTGGTAGCAGGTCAACCCTGCTAAGGGGAAAGAAGCTGAGTCTAAGCTTCCCACCTCTAAAACAGTCACAGGCTGAACACCATATCTAAGACACATGGGAGCCATCTGGCCTGAAGATCCCTCACCCAAAATATCCTACCCTCTCTTTCAACAGC